GCACATGAGGACTCGCGTGGGTTCGACGGGATGGAATGGGGGACATGGAAACCTTTGAAACTTGAAAGGCCTTTTGGATCTCTTCAAGGAGTCCTGCTGACCTATGCATCTATTGGGGGGATTTGTCCGGTGAATGCATCACAAGTCTGAGATTCTCTGGAACACACGGCGTTCCCCAGACGCACCATGTCTGGTTCATTGACCCTTTGCCCTTTACCTACGTGGAGTGATTTTGGATGGTTTCAAGGGTCAATCGGGTCAATACTGGCATATATTCGAGTCCCACTGGTCGTGTGATCAGCCTGGCGGGGCCGTCCAGCATGTGTCTTCAATCTTTTTGTGCCGAAGGACGCTCGATGGCCCTGATCCATCTCGAGAAACATTCTGCGATAGTTCATTCATTACCATTTCCTGGGTGTTCACCACAGCACGGGGCCTGGTTGCTCCACCAGCATGCATGCTAGAGATCAGAGTTCTGGATCACGGATAAGAAAACTGTGTCAGCAACCCCAACAGAATCGTGGGAACACTTCCGGCTCGAACGAGACTTGCGTAACCCGTATAGATTTATAACGTGTAACAACGGGTCGCATACGTTGGTGGCAGCTGGGACACGCTGCTCGAACGCATCCAGTGGCCGCCAGTGGGCATCAGAGCTCTAGTCTCCCAACACGCACGCACAGCACGCAGGAGCGGGAGCGCCGAAAGAAGAGGACCTCAGTCCAGAGCATGTCCTTGCTTCTGGCCGCGATCAGCCGGTGCTGCAGGGCCATAGGAGGAGGTCAGAACCATTCCCGTCTTGGACATCAAGAGGTCACATGCTTTTGGGGGACGGCCAAGCCGCAAAAAGCCGGCTTGGTTCCAGCAGGTTCTTGTTTTTGAATTGAGTGCCGAGTTTGTGGTTTTGAAGTGTCGGGGGCCTATGTGTCAGATTCATGATGGCCTGATGATAGCCGGTGTGACCGTCATGTGGCATCATGCTGAAGAAGATTTGAATGTGGCATCATGAATCTGTTGTTTGAACACGTGGGTATCAGGTTAAAAGAAAGAACAGAACAGGATCAAAAAGAACAACATAACCGGATCAATAAAAAGAACAGCATCAAAAACACAAAATCCTGACTAGGTCCCCTGGTTCTTCGGTCTTCTGGTCCGCTGGTCTCTTGCTCTCCTACTCCGCTGGTCCCCTGCTCCTTCGCAGTGGGCACCTAGACCTAGTCCCTTGGTCTCCTAGTCCGCTGGTCTTATGGTCCTTCAGTCTTGGTAGCTCCCTAGTAATTAGAGAGATAGCTTCCCAGTGGGGTGCTAGCTCGCTGGTAGGGTATTACCCAGTAGGGGGATAGCGCTGTCTATAATTACTTGATTTGCATTGGGGGGGAGGCGCTGCGCCCTCCCCCGCATCACCTTCCGCTTTTTTAATAGTTCCGGCCGTCCACTACCCCTACTAATACCAGTACCTCTATCACTAACTACTATCTTCTTGGCGTTGACGCTGCCACAAAGGTGGGTGAAAGGGCCCACATTCGCCTAGCGCGACAGCCGGAAGCCTTCGCTTAGTAGGAAGCGCTGTGCGCTACTACTACTACTACGACGACGACGACGACGACTACTACTACTACTACGACTACGACTTCTACTTCTACTACTACTACTTCTGCTACTACGACTACTTCTTCTACTACTACTTCTATCACCACCACCACCACGACGACGACTACTACTACTACTTCTTTAACTACTACTTCTGCTACCACTACTACTTCTATTTTAATTGCCACTACTAGTGCTGCCACTACTACTGCTACTACTACTTCTGCGTCTACTTCTACTACTACTACTACTACTACTTCTGCTACTTCTACAACGTCAACTACTATCTCTGCCACCACTACTACTACTTCTACTACGACTACTACAACAACAACTACTACGACTACTACTGTTACTACTACTGCTACTACTAGTACTACTACTACTACTACCACCACCACCACCACGATGACGACGACGACGACGACGACGACGGCGACGGCTGCGGCTGCGGCTGCGGCTGCGGCTGCGGCTGCGGCTGCGGCT